ATCACGAACAATTGATGCATTTTGCATTTGCGCATTTCTTCTGAGCAAAAAATTTGAAAAACCAAGAACTAGTGTAAACACAACTATATAACTGTGGCGACAATATGGCGCCGCAATAAGAATTCGAGGAAAAAACCTTTCAGTTTTAATTTAAATTTGAATAGGTTTATAATCACAACTTTTGGGTTGAAAACTGAAACTTTTCGGGTTTAAATATTTTATATACGCATATTTTTGCTGAGTTTAAACTCTGGGATCTCAAAACTCAACTTTGATGGTTTCAAAATAAAACTTGCGGTTTATGTTATCAACTCACGCAGTTTATTTTCTGCGATTTAAACTTTAAAGTTGAAGCATTCAACTTATAGAGTTTATTTTCTTATATATTACCAATTATAAACTTCAGTAGGTTTAAAAAGCCAACCTCAGAGTTTGAAAATATTGATGTAAACCCTAAAAAAGTTTACAGGGTTGAGAATTTAAACTAAAATTTTCGACCGTGTAGTCCAAGATGTTTAGATGTGTATATAGCTTAACTAGAACAATGTATCGAAAAATTAATTAAAAAGTAAAAATAAATTTAACTTACACTGTAATTTATTACTTTCACATCAAACGTACTTTGCTATTAATAATTAGTCAAATAAGTTAATATTTAAATTTTGGACCAAACATACACTAAACGTATACTACATTGTTCTGTATTTAATTATGTATATTAAGAACTAATTTAAAAACAAACTGTAAAATCATCAAATAAATCATTATTTGTTGGATAAAATTAATCTCGTAAAAGTTTTTATTATCTTCTTTTTTCTTCTTTGCAAGCAATCAGGATTTTAAATTTAATTCCTTCATGCAACACGAATTTTAAGTAATAAAATATTGAAAATTTATTCATACTTAAAAAATATGAACTGAAATATTGCCAAGAAAAAATTCCGATAGACATCGATCTTAATGGAAGACAGCTGAAGCCATTTTTTAAAACTTTTTTTTCACTTGGAGTAAAGTTTTTTACTCTTATAACTATGCACACGCAAAAGTCAACTGAGATTTTTTTACACTCACAAATGTGTATAGATGCAGATACTTATATACATATAGATAGATATACGCAGATAGTTCTTATATAAACGTCTACGTGTAATATATGAGTATATATATGAGTATTTTTTATGACGTTTGTGCAGATTCTTAATTTATGGAAGTGTTTTCCTGATATGCGCACAATGTATGCTTATAAATCGAACTTTTGGTTGAAAGTAAAATAGTAAAAATGCACAAAACAAAAAAAAATGAAATAGAATAATATTTTACAAACTTTTATTAAGAAATACTATTTTTATTAAAGTAAAAAAAGTGGTTTTTGGTTTTTTTTAACAGCAAAAATGGCACAGAAACTGCACATCATTTACGGAAAAATTTGCACTTTTTGGTGAAAAAAAGAAAATTTAAGAGGCTTAAGAACTTAGAAAATCCTTTAACACTGGAAAATTTTAATATGCAAAATATGCAGTTGGTGGATAAAAGACGAAAGATTAAACAACAACAAATTAATGTGCATTATTAAAAGCGCGAAGTAAATAAAAATGTTTTAAAAGAATTTTGCATATAATATTTATAAAGGATATTTTATTTACGAGCTTAAGTATGAACTGAAACAAACCCCACAGGTGCAAACTGCACTTCAAATCCACGTATATATACATATATATATATATAAGTATAGTAGTAGTATATAAAATATATATAGTTACAACCGTATCCGTAACCATATTGCATGTACTCGGTATGTTGCTTGGTAAGCCTTTCAATTCAGCGTTTATACGTGCAATATTTGAACGTGTTAAATTTTTAATTGAATTTACACTGTCAGTTACAACAATAACAACATTGTTTACAATAGCAACAGCAACATAGGTAACCAACTATTCAAGTTGTTCAAGTTATATTTCTATAAAATACTTACAGTTGCAAATACTTTCAGTACAAAATAATTGTCCTCTGGCAACGTTGCAGCTAATTGTACATAGATACCTTGGAAGCAAGTTACTACACCAATGTCAATGTTTACATTCAATATTTTATGGTATCGCAAATGGAAATTGTTTAAATATTTTGTTGCCATTTAGTTACGATACAGGCACATAGGCCCTGGTACTTATACTGGCACATGGCACTGGGACTGGCAGTGTTGCAGCAGCTGAATTGCTGGCAAAGGAGGTATGAAAGTATTTGAAATCATCGCGTCAGTTGTTGCAAGTAAAGTCGCAGGATACGAGATCATATACAATTTATATGGGAACCAAATTGCTGTTGGCATAGCACCGCACATTCAATGCGCCGCTAATGAACGCAAATGTGTTGTATGAGTAACTTTTTTGCTTTATATTCTTCCTCTCTGTTGATATTATTGTCTTTAATTCAATTAATGGATTTCGTGTTTATTTATGCCAATTGTGTACCCTGCAATTTGTTGGGTTGTCTGGGGTTAAATGATGCATTTGGGTGCACGTGCATTATTTAATAGCATAATTAGTTATTTATTTTGTGAATTTAAACAGAATTAAGCACCAGTAATAGCAACAGTGAAATACTGTTTAAATAAGTATTTGACCAATTAAGTATCTCAGGTGCAAAATATGTTCTTTTTATTGACTTTTATTCAATGAAA